TTCTTATTTTTCTAAATTAGTATATAAAACATGTGAAAATTTTTTTATGTATCATCTCTGCAGATATTTTTTTTAAACGATTAAAAACTTTATACGCTTCCTTTTACTACTTTAGATTTAATCATTATGATACATCAAACACATTTTACATTTAATGATTCAAGCTCAAACAATAATGTAGCTTTATCTCAACATTATTCTGATGAAGATTGTTCCGATCAAGAGTCATCAAGACCATCAAGACCACCAGAAAAAAAAATGAAAACATGCTGGAGGAAAAAAAGAAGATCCTATATGGGATTATGTTAATAAAGGTACTGCTTTAGGATGAGGGTTTTATATGGCCGATTGTAAATGGTGTAATACAAATTGGACAAGAGGATGTCCACAAGATATGAAATTTCATTTAGCTAGAAAGTGTGATAGTGTACTACAAAATATAAAGATATTGTAGAGAGAATATTTAGCAGAAACTCCAAATAAACCAATATTTTGTTCAATAAAACAGTCAAATATTACAACACATTTTCAGCAAATTAAATCTGTATCTGAAACTAGAGCTAATAAACTCGATTAGGCCATTCTTAAGGCATGGGTGTGTTGTGATTTTTCTTTCAATACTATAGAAAACCCTTTTATCATTGATCTCTTTAAACTGGCTATTCCGGGTTATATATTACTATCACGTCATACTCTTGCAAAAAAGCTTTTGGATCAAGAAACAATTAGAATTGAAAAAAAAATTGATACTGAATTAGAAAAAGAAGATGATCTTACTCTTAGTATGTTTAGTTTTTAAAATATACTGTCTTTATTTTAAATTTATACTGTAAATGTTAATTTAATTTAATTTATTTAGGTCTTGATAGATGGACATCTCCAAGAGGAGATTTGATATATAATCACAACACCAAAGTGGAAAGAATATTTGGTTAAACTTAAATTATATAATACTGAAAGTCAAACAGGTCAATTTATGGCAAATGAAATTCGAAAAATAATGCAAGATATTGATATTGGAAAATTTGTAGCGATTGTGACTGATAATGGATCGAATCTAAGAGTTGCATATCAAATTGTACATGAAGAATATCCCTTTATTTTAAATTTAAGATACGTATCACATGCTATCAATTTACTTGCTTCTGATCTTACAAAAATAGATCGCATACTGCTCATGGCCATTATAAAGAACAATTAGCTACTATGAAAATAAAGGGTGGTGAAATTAAATAATTTGGGTATGGTACTGTTATAGAATAAGATTCATATTTTATCTCTATTAGATTTAGAAGCTTGTTGTAATTCTAACAAGCTATAGTATATTAGAAACAGATTATTGGTTAATAGAATATTACCAAAACAATTCCTAGTTAGGCTATATGTATGACAGCTAGTGTAGAACCCTTAGCATAGCACTAACGCTTCGGGCGGACTACTTAA